TATAGCCGTTCCTGCCGAGAAAAGTCCTTGGGTGTCGCATTCCCGCGCTGCGCCAGCTCTGCAGGAACCGAGCCTCGTGTCACAGCCTGTCCCGGTCCCCATCCCTGCCTGCCATGGGTCATCAAATGACTCGTCCCTGATCCGGAGGCTGCTCCCCCACCCGGAGGGAAATGCTTTCTAGTCTGGGGGCTACACGCATGGTTCAGTGCATGCAGGCACCCGAAAATGAAACGAAAGCGGGCAATGAGTAATACCAAGCCTCCGGGTGTAGCAAGCAGGGCGAACAGGGTGGCTGTATGGGGGGAGAACAGAAAATGAATGAAAATAAAGGGGCTGATGAAGCCCTAAGCAAGGTGGGGAGTACACAGATGGGTTTAATTGGGGTCAGTGAATCACTGATTCCTGGGGATAGGAAGGAGCACTGCTGCCTGCTGTTGAACAGGGCGTGAGTCCCGGATCTGTGCCACTGGATTGGGTCAGAAAGTCATAGAATCATGTAATCATAGAATCGTTTGGGTTGGGAGGTACCTTAAAGCTCATCCAGTTCCAACCCCCTGCCATGGGCAGGGACATCTTCCACTAGACCAGGTTGCTCAAAGCCACATCCAACCTGGCCCTGTCAGCTCTTCTCAACCCTGCCACAGCCGGGGAACAAAACAAGGGTTGCACCTGGTTTCACCCCTTTTAAGGTGCAGCCCTATGAAATCAGAGGGTCCATGCCTTTAACATGAGCACCTTGCAGAGAGATGGTCCCCAACCAGCCAGGGAAACTTCACCAGGGCTTCTCCTGTCTCTCTTTCCAAAGCAAACATGAACTCCTCTGGCACAAGGAGCCTGTGATCAACTATGCTGCTTTCACAAGGAGATGCCCATGCCAAAGGCTGTTGATGGGATGCGGCGCTGTCCCTTGGCAGGTGGCACAACCCCTCACCACAATGCCCTTTGCCAGGGTATGGTGTAAAGTCATCACCATAAGCCAAAACCCCACCAGTGCAGCAGCTGTATGCTGCGGGTTCTTCCCCTCCCAATCAGATGAGGGAATTACAGGCATAAACCCCATAAAGGAAACAATACCACAACCAAACACAGCCTTCTGGAAGGGAAAACTGGGGCCAGGCTTCACCAACCAGCCATGGACAGGCCTCTTCGCAGTATTGCTGCTTTTATGGCCCAGCAAATAATTTGTAACAAATAGTTTATTCAATTAATTGAGCCTCTCTGCTCTGGGGCAGATGGCATCTTTTAAAAATGGATTCCCGATGGAAAACCAGACAGCAGCATTTGTGGTCCCATTTCCCTCGCTTTCAGGTCAATGCCAGTGGTTATGACATGCCTGGGCTGCCAGACACAAGCCCATGGAGTAGGTATGCGTTTCCCCATCCAGGTTTGTGGGTTTTATTCAGCCTTTCCTTTGCACCATGGGCTGGCTCACATCCTCACTCCCTTCTTATTTCCCTGCTGTTGCCAGGACGAAGTGTATTTTCTCTGCTTTTTCCCTGGGTTGCGGGATCATGGTGATGCTTCTTTTTGGCTGCATCTTTCCAGGCCCCAGGGGTGCCATGAGGTGATGAGAAACGGTTTGGAGCCAGCAAGAGAAAGGGGTTTCCAGGCTTTCCGAAGGGTTTCCCAAGATTTCTCCTAAATGTTTCTAGGTGGTGGGGATGCTTCCATGACTGTTGTCTTTTCAGTCGTCCTATAGAGAGGTGCAGCCACCATTCACAAGCCAAACAAGCTCAGGAAACAACACAGCCAGACCCCAGTCCTATGCACTGATTTTTACCTTTTCTAAAGGGAATAAGGAAAAAGTGCATTTTGTCACACAAGTGACACTGGTGGAGCAGGAAGTGACTTGAACAGGACAATTGTCACATGCCACTGCAAGCTGATCTGCTGGGGCCATTGCTGTTGAGCAGCCAGGAACACCCTGGGAACTTCAGGAGCTGCTCTCCAGGCCATGGATCTTGCTCTGCCAAGGGATTGCATCATATTTTTGCCCTCAAATTAATAAATTGCCAAAAAGGTCACTTGTAGTCCCAGCCTTGGTGCAAACTGCTCTTGCCAGCCCAGCCTCCCTCCCAGCCAAGATGTGCTCTAACTTAGAAAGGGGCTGGCACTGCACGCTCTTCTGCAATGAAACCCGTCTCTGGGTGAAGGCAGAGGGACTTCAGAGCACCCCTTGTGCATCTCCAGCTGCCCCAAGAGCATCTCTTGTGTGACCTCCCAGGGCTCTGGTAAGTGTTCCCGCTACATTTCAGTGTTGAGGAGACATCGGTGCTGTGCTGGTTAGAGGGACACCTTGGAGGCTACCTGGGAGTGCCCCCCATTTACTTACCCAGTAGCCATGCATGAAGGAGGGCTCTGCAGAGATCAATGGGCTGCCTTGACTCCATGCCTCCTCCGGAGACGGCGTCCCCTTTGCTCTGACCTTAGGATTGATTTCTCATTGACAGGCCCTATGCTGGTGCTCAGCCTTGGAGGCTCCCCACGTGCCTTTCCCCCATGTGAGGGCATGGGGATGCTCTTCCCTGGGCTGCTTCTGGGGGGCTCAGAAAAGAATGGGCATCCCAAAGCTCAGGAGAAGCATCTTGGAGGTCACCAGGCAGCCCTAGTAGGATGCTCCCATCTCAACACTTGGGGTGGGAACCCCAGAGCACCCACCGACTTCAAAAGCGGTTGAAAAAGCAAAAGAACAAACAAAAAAGGGACAACTACAACACAGCATACACACACTCATCATCCACATTTTTGAGCCACAGTGAAGAATAAACAGGGTGAAGATGCTACCGTATTCAAACAAAATTCTTTTATTGAAAGTGTAATGGAAATTTCTTCATATTGCTTTGATGAAATGAGAGACAGCAGCTGTAGACAAATATGCTTTTTTTATAAACAAATGCAAATGAATAAGGTAAAAATAAAGCATTTTTTTTTAACTTGTACCTTTAAGCAACATAATCACAATATATACACAAAGAAAGCTAAAATAAAGCTATGTTGAAACCAAAGCGTTTCAATCAATACATTAGATAATTACAGATTGTGTCAATAAATACCCAGTTTTTAAACTGTTTAACAGGCAACTTTTTACACAGATACCAAGAAGGGAAAAAAAATAAAATATTTACAATTCAGTGCCCTGGGGAAAGAAAAAGATTAAAAAAATCTTTTTTTTTTTTTTTTTTTTAATTCTTTTGGCACCAACACAAATAAAAAGAATAAATTATAGAAAAAAAGAATCCACAAAGGCAGGAGTCTATCCTGGTATTCATTAAAAAAAGTGTGTGTGTGTGTGTATATATATATATATAAAATATATGTATATTTTATATATATATATATGCAGAGAAACCTAGGAATGTTATAAAATATATTAGTGCCAATAAATACAGAATGGTACCAGACTTTCAACTGTCAGTATTTTTGATGCAGTCTGAAGGATAGAAACTACCACCTAGGAGATAACCGAATGGGATTTTTCAGTCTAAAAAAAGGACAACAACAAAAAATATTAACAATAATAACAATAATTATATATATATATATATATATCCAGGAAATCCTCCATCTGCCAGTAGTATTCCTACAGTCACCCTCCTGCCCAGCGGGGAGGTCTCCGGGAGTGATGCTTTGCAGGAGGATGTGGCAGCGAGCACAGGGCGAACACCCGCTCACAGCCACAGCGGGTCAGCTCCACTTCCAAGTTGACTGGCTCAATACCAGAGAAGATGTACAATTAAATAGTAATAATAATGATTAACACCCAAGCAACCCAGCCTTCACCATATTTGTCTGCCAGAAGTTCCCTAAATTGCTGGCAGGAATAGCAGGTACCCAAGAGCATCACCATCCCTGCTGTCAGGGATATAAACACTTCAGACAATGGAAAAATCCTCAAATCCATATTTTGCGGTTTTCCCCGTCTGGGTGTTTCTGCACATGCAGGGCAGCCCACCATCCCACTCCCACAGCAGCAGGGCCAGGACACCAAAGCTGCCACCTCCCTCAGTACCGGTAGTGCCAGGGATCATTCCCATTACAAAAATCTCACATTTTCCAAGATGGGATTTAAAGCTGGTAGGTTTCAAAGCCGTTGCTGGTTTTTTAACATACCACTGGTGCAGGCACTTAGTGTCTCACTGACCTACAGATTTTATGTCCAGTTACATCTCATGGCCAAATAGTGTCATGTTCTCAAACTGACTTAAATAACAAGAGGCCAAGAGGGCCTCTAATATTCTTCCTAAATGCAATAATCTCTATAAACCAAAAGCCTTCAAGGTTTTCAAGCTTTCTTTTCAGCTGTTATTCTTTCTTTTCTCTAAAACCGCACTCAAAAAATAAAATAACCCAATAACCTTCATATCCACCTCTTTTACTTGATTTACCTGATTTACCTATAGAAAAAATATATAGTATAAATAGTCTGACCCACTAGATTTTGGAGCTGTGATACCTTTGATGTTGGGGAGCACTCGCTGAGGAGCATGAGCACAGTGTTGCTGTTGTTGGCTTTGCTCTCCCAAAGACCCCCTGGGGCCGCAAACGTCCTTCAAGTTACATCCCCACCCTTGCTAACAGTTCCTCTGCATATTCAGGCACCATAATTGATCAGGAAAAAGATCTCATGGCCAAATCCTTAAGAGATTAAATAAATTATTAAATAATTTATAAAAAGTGTTTGGGTTGGTTTTGTTTGTTTAGAGCTAGTTCATGTTATTTCTGGAATAGTTGAAGGTTTTGTGTGTTGTGCTCTCCATTACAATATTATGGAGATCAGACACCATCATCACGTCTATTGATAGAAACCAAAGGATGTTGAACAAACATTTGTCCCATCCCTCCCAGCCGCTTGCATTTGACACTTTTGGAAATGTGAGGCGAAGACCAAACAGCTAACATCTTTCAGACTCAGAAAATCCATAGTCATCTATAGGATGGGTGCTGCTGAAGACATTATTGCCCTTCCAGGTCATTGACAAACCACAGTGCTATTCACGTACTACAGGTAGAAAATAAATAAATACAGATATATTATGCAAAAAAAAATATGATTGTACACATAATACATCTGAGGTATTACCAATTTAAATAAGGTTCCATGCTAGTTCAAGCTTCGGTGCCTAGTTAAATTCTGGAATTTGCAATAAATAGATGAAGAATGATTATGTATATAGTGTATGGATCTCTTCTGTAAACCTTGTCCGAGTTAAACGCAAGAGCCTGCTGGGCTAACTCTTACGCAAACCACAAATTTTCACAATAAATACAGCTTCAAAAAGTTGCCTTAAAAAGTTCCTGCAACACTGAAACATTTCTAGAAGGGGCTGTGTGTACGACTGGCAATGTTAGCGAGGAGTATTTCTCTACAGGTCTTTTCATACAAAACACAAGGAAACTCATACGTGAAAGTCTTTTTCCCTCCCTCCCCACCCCATCATGAAAGTTTAGAAATTTTTGCACAAACAGTGAGAGAACTGATTGTAGCTGCAGTATGTCAAAACGTCCACGTTCTACAAAGACCAAAAATAGTTTGTTTGCTTAGAAAGTCCTTTTCTGTTTGATTTTTTTCTCCTTATTTTTGAGTAACGCATCATCCTTTTGGTGCAAGTTTGCCCACTTCGGTTTTCCTTCAGGCTGTTCCTTGCTGCTCAAGCATTTCACACTTTCACCGTCTCCATCAGCGATGACTTGATGGCATCCTCCAAAAGTTGATTGTCTGTGAAAGGGGCTGGGGTTTCAGGGACAGATTCGGACAAACCAATAAGGGACTCCAAGAAACAGGAGCCCTGGTCTCCAGCTTGTGGGAAACCTGGAAAATTAGGCAACTGAAACTGTAACGCTGAGAAGTTATCGAGGTTCTCGTACTCCTTCAAGGAGTTGTAAAGGGGTCCCAAATTATAGTCTGAGAAGGACTGGAAGAAATCCAAGGAGTCTGAGGAAAGGCTGAGGTCAGCGTAGCTCCTGGAACAGGGCTCAGCTGGGGATGAGGTGCAGCAGGACAGTCCATCGCACCGTGCATGAGCAGCATCCTCCAGCAGACTGCCACTGTCCTGGTTAGCGTTCTCATCCAGGCACTCGGAGAGGTGGGATAAGTGGCCAGGGACAGGCTTAGGCTCATCACCATGGTCCTCGATGAAGAAATCGGTGGGGTGGAAGCAGCTCAGGTCATCATGACCATGGCCACCCTCTTCCTCGGCATCCGAGTCGTTGAAGTGGAGGATGCGTGCCAAGCCATCGTCATCCACATCCGACTGGGATTTGTCGGAGGGGAGGCTCTCGTAGGGCTCCTCCAGGTCCTCACTGGGGTGGGAGGAGATGGAGGAGTCTGTCATGTCACTGCTGCAGCTGTTCTCCCCCAAGGCCTCCAGGTCAGGGCTGAACTGGAAGGCGGGTGCCAGCGGCACTGCACGCTCCTCCAAAGAGCCCTTCCCTGTTGCACATCCCAACTGTGGGAGCCGTTCCCGAAAGGGGGGCTCGGCCTCTGCCACCTTCTCACTACTCTGCTGCTGCTTCTCCAGCTCCAGCTTCATGATGGTGTGGATGAAGTGGGTCTGCACGCGGGCCTGGTTGAACTCGATCCTGCCCTCAGTGTTGCCACAGCCATCCTTGGTGCAGCCACAGGGGAAGGAGGTGTGATCCATCTGGCACAGGGAGAAGCAGAGGTGGAGGGTTAGGACCAAACCCGGCAGCACAGAGTTGAAACCACCCACAACTCAGCCACCTTGAGGAACCAAGTAACAGCTGAGGGGTTTAAAAGCAGGCTACAAAAACAAAATAAATAAAAAAAGGCACCCTGTTCTTTTGAAGGGTTGTCATAAAAAAGTTGGGTTTCAGTAAAACTGAAGTTAAAAGATTTCGAAAAAGCAAAATATAATGCTCCAAAATAAGACATAAAGGGGAAAACGTGAGTTTTTTATATATTGCATCATGGTATTTAATACATGATCCATATCATGCACTTCTGCCACTCGCCGAGATAAGGACAAATTGCCCAACAGGCATCTGCAGCACCTTTATGTCCCTGTTAGCAGCAGCCGCTAGAGGGGGGCTGTGTCCCACTCATGGAGCACCCGGCCCCCTGTGTGCACCCACCTGCCTGTGCACAACCACTCTACACCAGCCCCAGCCTGCAACCACACCACCAAGGGAGCCAGCGGCACCCTGAATACAGGATATGGCTCCCCAGGCACAGCTGGGCAGGCACCCATAACAAATAACATGAAAGATATAATAAGCTAATGGAATACAGAGATGGTCTGCACAGCTAGCTACAGGGTGACACTCAGCTGGCACTCCCACGTTTGCCTGCACACGCTGGGAGTTGTGACACACCAAGGGAAATGAAACTAAAAATAAAAGCAGGGGGAGGAGGAGAAGTCACAGCCTCGCGTGAGGAGCAAGAAGCTTCCATTTGCAGAGACATTCCCACATGCCAATCTCCAACAGGAGACCAAGCAGGTACAATTGTTGTGGGGACAGAACAGGCGGGTGCATTCACACTGCAGGCTTGGGCACATCTCCATGGCTGCAGCGGCAGCATGGGATGGCTGCATGTGTGATTTGGGAATCAGATGCTTCTGAGTAGCGTCTGCTTTGCAGCCTGGGAGGCATCCAAGAGCTTTTCTTGCCTGCTTTGCTCTGAGTACAGATGGGAACAGATGTATTTCACAGGCTGTCCTAAATGTATCCTGCTTGCTCAAACCCTTCCTGCTACAACATAGATGTCAGCTGGAGCCCCAGGTTTTCCCCCATGCCCAGAGGGGAGGGCAGTACCTGACATTTAATGCCTGCCAAGCTGCAGCTGCAGGTCTCTGGGTCGCAGACCTCCCGGCAGTCGCAGCCACAGTCCTCCCGGGACAGGCGGATGTTGTGCAGCTCCCGCTTCTCCTCCTTGTCGATCTTCTTCACCCCCATGGCTTTCAGCAGTGCACGCCTCTTCTTGGCAGGGTAGGGCTGGAGAAAGAAGCCGTCCTCCAGGTCCACGTTGCTGACATCGATGTCATCATCAGAGATGTCTTCAATAGTGAGCTGGTTGGCCTCCTCTGACTCCTTTGTGCCATTCATGGTTAGCTAAGGGCAAAAAAAATGGGCAAAGCATTAGAGATGTGTTGGGGACAAAGAGCCATCAGCACCCCCAGGTCAGAAGAAACAAGAAAGGAAATATCTGCCCCCCATTCTGGTGGATAACAGGACCAACATCTGTGTCAGAGCCCCCAAAGACTTGACAGACACCTGACACATAGAGTTCAGGGTCTTTTCCATCATTTTTCAAAGGTGGAGAACTGTGCTGAAAATCCCACAGGGGAATCTGTGTTTTTCTGGGACCCAAACAGAGTTAAGAACTAATGCCCCCAGGTCTCAGAGAGGCTCCTAGGAGGAAGACTGGCCATTAACTAATGACATCCACCAGTTCCTCATCAACCCAGCCCCATACTCCTATACTCACTTTCCATTTCAATGCCTCCAACTTCTCCTCTTTTAATTTCTCTTCCAGTTTCACCCGACGAACGTTTTCCTGTTCCTTTGAAAACTCTGCTAGCGTGAACTGCCGGGAGGAGCTGTGTTTGCTCACCATCCCCAGGGTACAGCCCCCGCGACTAGGCACACTTGTGAACCCCTGGCAGCGTGGGAAGTAAAACACAGTGACCCGGTCAAACTCCACATTGTTCTTCTTTAGCCGCTTGGATTTCTTCAGGATAGATGTGGCTAAAAAGGGGGGAAGAAAGAAACAGCACAAAGTCAGTACTGCCATCCTGCAGGCAGGACAAAAATACTACAAACAGGCTGTAAATACTAGAAACAGGCAGGACGTGCAATTACTCTCTCAACAAAGACATGATGGGACAAGCTTACAACATCGCTTGATAGCTTCTGATGTTTTAGGATCTAATACTTCAAAGGTCAGATAAGGCTGGAGAGGAAACTAAGCCAAATCCTGATGCGCACCGGAGTCACCGATCAGATTCACCCTTCTGCAGATTCACTGCTTCTCCTTACCCGACTTCCTCCAGGAAACATACATTTGCTTATTCTTCACATGCAGCAGAGCATAACAAACAAGTAACAAACTATCCTACATGCCTGTCTTGCTTTAACCCCAAGCACCCTGCCCCACATTTAAGAAGCTCGTGTCTGCCAGGACACTGGCACTCCAGTGCCACATGGCTCCAGCTCTTGTGGCACAGCAGAAAATAGCCAAAATGTCTGTTTTCCTGGTACTTCCTTTCACCATCCACTGGGAGGAACTATGAATCTATATTTTATTCTCAAGAGACTCATTTAATAGCAGCTGCAAAGATGTTAATCTTTATGCAGGTGATCACAGGGTAAACACGGCAATACATGACTCTGGTTTATCTTAAACTGCTGAAACATGCTACACACCATTTAAAGCGGAGCCTCTCCAGAGATACCTGGTTCTGCACATTTGCACATGCAAACGTAGCAGATGAAGCAGGACTAATTAACCAGGGCAGTTTCAGAGTCAATGAGGTTCCACGAATGTAGCTGGCCATGGAAAGCAAACTGAAATGTGGTGGTAGGTTATAGAGCTGCCTTTTCTGCTGCATGAGCATGTCAGGGACAAGAGCAGCTATGCAGAAATTCAGTGGTGCGGTTTCTTGGTCCTGTTCTCTCGTGGTGCATAGATGCCTTGGTTGCATAAAATAAGCCAGAAAGGCTTGGTGACTCCCACAGAGCTGGATCTGAGCCCTCTTTGGGTGGCAGAGTTGCAGGCAGTTCTATGTGGGGAGCTAACCAAAAGGGCTGCTGAAAACCCTAGGGGCTCGGCTGGTTTGGCTGGCCCTGAAGGCTGGGAAAGTGCGAGACCGGACAGTTAGCTGCACCCATGTTTCACAAGTCTCACTTGCCAAACATACAGCATTTCGGTTTCACATAAAAAAAAAACCAAATGTTCACCCAGCTGCATCAGCAGCTTCTGCTGAAGAGCTGGGGGTTTCACACTGCTCCCTGCAGTCACTTTGATGGTATCTTTGCACTGTGTGTTGCATTTTCATAATAACTTTGACTCAATCTTCTAAAACATTAGCTCTTTATCAAAAGGCATGTTAACCACTGCTATCATCTATCAGCTGAGCTGCTGCACTTTGGCATTTGCTTCTCTCTCCCTGCACCCCTCCTCTGAAATTGTTTTCCCATTCCTGACCCTTTTCCAATTGAGCCAGAGAATACAAAAAGTTCATTGTTTTGTCACAAAACCTGGGAAGACAAGCAAGAATGAGACTCTTTATTATTACAAGACTTCTAAAGCCTTTTCAGACCGCTGTGTGTTTGTGTATGTCTGCTAAGTGGACCTTAACTGCTATATACAGTGGGTGTTCAGTATAATTTACTAGGTTGGACTATTTCTTCTCTGTGAAGATGTTCCCCTATTGTATCTTTTGTTTTTCCCTTCACATGGCAGATAAAGAATTTTATGACCTTGCCTTCTGTGTGCTTTCCTAAAAGCTCTCAAAACTGATATTGCTGGGAAAACAAAATAGCATTTATCTGTACTAACAGCGGAGGCAATGTCAAATGTGTCATGTTCTTTGGCAAAGTACCCAACTTAAGTAGGAAACAAGTTCTGAAATGGTAATTGCACCACTAGTTAATCATTTTTTAAAACCAGTGTTCTGGGCCTTTGCTGTCTGTTTGGGTTTTGGCTATGGAATAGCTTAACAGGGGATTAAGGGATGGTGGGACTGGTCCACAGCACTGGCTTGGAGGCCCCTGCATGCCTGTGCACAGCCAAGTCCTTGGGTTTATATTACTGGAAATTTGGACTTCAGCAAAAGCACTGTAAAGAACAATAAATGCTGGGAGGAAGGGCTAAGGAAGACTAGCCTGAGGATGCTGGCCCATTACAAAACCAAGATAAACTGGCATAATGACAGGGAGCTGGCTGCTTCCACTCCTAAAGGTGTGCTCCAACGGGCGTCTCTGCATGGTGATAACCCACCATCCTGCTACATAAAAAAACATACAGGAAAGTCTGGTTGCAGGAAAGTGGCTGATGGAGATACTCACGGGTGAAGCTGGGCGTTAAGGCAGAGCTAGGCTTGGGCTCCCCGCGGGAGCTCTCCTCGTCCGTCTCCCAGCCTGAAGACGCTGAAGACGAGAGGGGGGAGCAGGAGGAGGAGGAGCAGTAGGTACTGTCATCCCCCAGCTCTTCATACTTCCTTTTCAATACCCCACTCATGGTGACGCCGTACTTTTCATATAACTGGAAAACAAAGGAGAAACACAAACTGAAGCAAGGGAAATACTGGCAGTTTCTGGTGATGAGCAGGATGGCTTTAACCCCCAGCAAGGCTTCTCCACCAGGTCTACCTGGCCATGCAGAGGTGATTCCCAAAATGGGCTCCCTAGGAAAACCACACCTTGCTACCCTTGCTGTGCACACCTGCTGAACCTCGCTCCCTTTTTATGATGCTGCAGAAAAAAGATTACCATTGCACACAACAAACTGTCCAGAAACCAATTCAATCAACACAAATGTTATCAAAGAGTAAGTATTACATTGTGCTTACTAATTCTTTTATGTTAAATCCTCACCCAGATCGCTTTCTATGCAGTTACAGCTTTAATGTTTTGCTAATTACAAAAATAAGCCAGTTTGCAGAGAACAATCTGTTGGCATGATTTACTTGCTACAGCCCCCTGGGGAAACAGACTTATTAAATGAAGCACTGAAATACAAATATATCAACTGTGAAGAACAGCTCTTCTCCTCTTAGTGCCTTTCATAGTCAGTCCTCCATTCAATAAGCTATTCTTGTTTAGGCTGGGTTATGTATCAAGCATAGTAGCAATTAAAAACAACGCGGCTAATTAAAAACAAAGGAGCTCTGTACTTGCCTAGATTCCTAAATTTCCTGCATGCTTTTCCCCTGTTCATCTTAAAGAAAAAAAGGAAAAAAACCCCACAAACAATCCAAGAAAAATAAAAAAACACCAAACAACAAAAAACTTTGTTGCATCTTTAACCTTTGCTTTTATGAAGTTTGTGGGGATTTTGTCTCTTGAAATTGCACAAAAGCTGCCCACTTTGCCTACAATGGGCTAACAGATAACAGAACCCCCCTAACCTGAGATGCTCTTGCCTAGGTTATGGACTGTTTCTCCTTTTAGATGCTGGCAACAGTGTACCAGATACTTCTGCTTCAGCGTAAGTCACTGCTAGCTTATTTTGAAGCTATACCCAAAGCTGAGAACCAGGCTGCTGCTGGACCAGTGACTTACTCTGACCCTATCCCACCAGGCTGCAAGGCACAACCATAGTGGAAGAGATGCAGCCCTAGCCCAGAAACCTCCAGCAAGAGGGGAGAGCCCCAGTGACATGGGATGCTAGCAGCCACCTCACCAATAAAACCATAGGTAATTACACAAACCCTAAAGCATCCCTAAGATTCAGATGACATGGGGATGGACACATACATCCCAGGGACAGGGACGGGACAGTGCAGATATGGGGTGCCAAATACCCAGTCCCCATCCTCTCCTGCCAGCTGAAGCTCCTCCACCGGCCAAATTTCTTGTAACTGTAGCACTTTCTCACCCTCTTTTGCATGTCTGAAGTTAATTTCAGTCTCTGAAGAAAAAAAAAAAAAAAGAAAAGAAAAGAAGAACCACCCCAAAACCAAAAAACCCCAACAAAACACTAACCCCGCCCTCCCAACAGCCCTGAGCAGGCAGCGCAGAAACCGCACCAGCTTCAAAATCTCCCAACCATGGGATTCTCAGTATCTTGATAGCGTCGCACAGTAACGTGTAGCAGGATGGGAGCACACGCTGTGCCTTCAAAGCCCTGTGCCAGCCGTCATTAATTATGCTTACCAACAGCTTCCCAGGAGACAACAGTCCCCTAAAAGGTCAAAAAAATCCCTGGGTGAAGTAGCTCCAGCCTGAGAAAGTTAATCATTCCCTGCAGTGCACGTCTCTGGGGCCAGCGCATCCACTATAGCCCCCTGAACCTGTGGGCTGGGAAGAGGTTATCCTCTCCATCCCTCCTCTTCCCTGGCAGTCCCACTGCTGTATGTGGTTCTGCCACAGACAGGTTGTTGGGTTTTTGTCCTTAATCCAAAAGATGGGAAAGTGGATTTGGCCACCCTCCAGCCACAGCAGCACATGTCCTACCTGACACCTGGGTTAACCCCTTTTCTGCCTGCACCCTTTGAGCAAAGCAGAGCTCACAAGCAGCCACGATGCCCAAACCAGCTACCTGGCTGCATTTATAAACTCTGCTCTGTTTTACACTTGCTTTAAGAAACCACCAGTGCAAAGAAGCCCTCCGAATCCACAGCAGGGGTCCAAACCAAAGCCTGAACTGCAGCCAGAGGTTTGCTTATCCCAGCTGACCCCATCATCCACCCAGAGGGGAGAAAATCATTACAAGAAATCATGCACATGGCTTGAAAGAGCATCAGCTCGTGCCACAAAACAACTGCTCGCTGCTCCAAAACACATCTCACCTCCAAAACTGCCAGTGAAGGATGCCACTGTCTAGCCAAGGGAGGGAGAAAACAGCTTCCCCAAAAGCCCACAGGACACATGTCCAATGGCAAATGCCCTTGGAGATGCAATGTTGACCACATCCAAGCCTCACAGGAGGCACTGGAGGGTGGTGGAGCAGCCAAGATCATGCTGCTGAAATGGGGATAACTCAGGCATTCATTGCTACCGAGATTTACATGGTCTGCAGGACTGCCAGAGAAGCGAGAAGGTAGACACCACAATGCTGCAGAGCAACACAGCCCTGACACTCAGGTCTCCTGCAAACCCAACAGTGCCCATCATAAGCCACAACTGTCCCCCCAAACCCACACAGCAAGAAAAAACCCAAAGTGTTTTCCCCCAGCAACCTAACCAAATTAACACAAACCCTGAGCCAGAGCCAAGGCAAGCTGTGTATGAGATAGTATTTTAAAACAAGAAATAAAATTGCACCATCATCCCTGATTAGCTATGTCTGGCAGAAGGATGACGGGAGGCCTGTGCCTCTCCCATCTATGAGAATAAGCCAAATGCATAGAAAAAAATACCTTTGGCACGCTGTCTTATTCAAAACACCTATTGTTTTGCTAATGCAAAGTAGGTGTTGTGCAAACATGATTCTCAATTGGAAAAAAAAACGGTGAACCTGATGCTCACCAGCCAAAACCCATTCATTTTCCCCCAGAAAGCCTTCCCCCTCTTAGTTGATTTATGGGTGCGACATTTTCCAGGTTTAATTGTCAAATCCTTCCCAGGAGGTATAAACGATGTAGTGGGGCTGCACCCATTGGTGTCTACTTGCATGTGCCCCCAAAACATCCTCCAGACAGGGGGCTTGCTGTCAAGGCAAAGATGATCCTCTCTTCCCCTTCTCACCCCAGCACCTGGGGGCAGAATTCAGAATCCACAGCAGTGATTTGGACATTGCCATATCACTGAAACCACGGGCCACTCAGCCAAAAAAACCCAGAGGCAAGTTCAGCTACAGTGAGGATATTTTAATTGCAGTAATGATGCAAGTAATCTTAAATTCACATTGACATCTTATAAAGAAGTCCTCCAAATGTGTACAGCAGCACGGAAGAAAACGTATATATACCTATGTACCTGTGCTCGCCACTGCAAATCTCAGCAGGCACCAATGAATGCAGGATTTTACCACCTTTTTTTTTTTTACATAACCTGAAATAAAATAATCCTATCTTCCTTTCAGTTGCCAAAAAAGACATTCTGTTCTTGGCTAAGACTTCTTACTCATCTATTTTACTGAAAACAGCTTTTGGAACAAGTACATAATGCAATGGATCAAACCCGCAGGAATTCCTCTCTGGCACCAGAACTCCCACTATCCTGGGAATACTTTCTAACAAATATTTAGCCCAGATGTGCATTCCTTTCTTTTTCTCTCCCTCTTTTTTTTTTTCTTAAAGCATTAAAGTTTGGGTGGGGGGAGTGGGGAGGTGGTGGCTGTCTAGTTGGGGGAAGGGAATCAAATCTGCAAAGTCCCATTTCTGGCACTCAGCAAGTCGCAGGGTAAAGCCCTAATACACTGGAATGCGAGGAATTAATGTTTTAACTATCCTCCTCTTGGACGACGTCTCAACAGTAAATATTTCGAGTAATTTAGACTTAAGAAGGTTTGGCATTTGTTTAGCCAAGCACAGAGGAAGGCAACTACAACCCCTTCCAGTGTCCAGTTAGTCCATTTATAAGAGACTGCACAAAAAGGCATCAAGGCTTTGTGCAGAAGTATGCAGAGAAGATGTTTCAGTGTTATCCTGTGGGGTTGTAGATGTGCTTTGCACCGAGCAGGCGAACACAGCAGTGCAAGCAAGACAAAGGGAACTTCTCCCAGCAAGTCCAGCAGCTCTGTCTGCTTGCGCCACAACTCTCACAGTATTGCAGGAGAACACCTATGAGCAAGGAGATTTTAAATTTTGGGGTTTCTGTCAGTGGAGCATCCTAAAGAATGGAAGGATCCCAAATCTGTGCATGAGCTATTGAAAGAAAACTTTCTTCTGCAAATCAATTTGAGTAAAAAGCAAACAAACAAACAAAAAAACCCCAAGCCTCAGTGCACTGTAAGTATTTATTTTCCAGTGACTTTTTGAGCTGGTCTGCCAACTTTACAATCACAGCCGTCTCTGCCTGCAGTCCAGGAAGCCAAGGTGGACTCTTCCCAGCACACCAGGATGAGGGCTCAGGCGCCAGGAGCGAGTTAACAACTCTGCTGAGCCATGAGTCAGAGGAGCTCCTGCTCCCTCCCCCAGAGCCGCAGTGGCTGTGCAGGTCTAGCAGGAGTAAATATTAGTTTAAAAACACCACTGCATATTTTAGCCAGGTACGGCTTCAAACACGACTTGTGGAGCAAACCTTTGGGGGTTTGGGGTCACTGCTGATTTGCACACCGCTGGTTATTGTGGGTCACACGACCTTGGTGCAAGTATCACCAAAAACTGGTGTGGAGCTGAACTTCCCAGTTAGCCATCCCAGATATTTGATGTCTAGCACAGTGGTGATTCCAGTGATGCCTCTAGGTTTCTTAATAATCACTGCGCTATCAACACTGATTCATTGCTCATTCATTTAACGATTTTAATTATTTGCATATTTAAGTGGTTTCCCCAGTGCCGCTGTGACAGCCTCCACGATGACAACACTTCCCAACTTCGGGGCTGACTGGGATCGCCCCACTGGGACCCTCCAGGGGACGGTCCCGCTCATGTTCCCAGCCACACGAGCTGCGCTTTCC